AAATGGGAGAGGCGAGAGAGGGAATGAAGTCGCGGATGGCAAAAGGACAAATGAACATTTTTGTATGGAAAAAAAAATCACAAATCTGGGAAGTAAAAATATAAAAGAGAAAGAGGGAGGGAGAGTTTTGCAGCTTGAGAAGAAGAAGCTGTTGATTGGGGGCCCGATTGCTACATAGAAGAGCAGCAGCAGCTCTTCATCGAGAGTGACGACATCATTCAGCAGCAGCCCTCCAACTGTAAGAATTCGAGACTTTGCTTTCTCCGTGAATATCTGTTTATTATCATAGCATGGTGAAGTTTGTTGGTTGATCTGGATTGTATGAACCCGGTTCTGTCTGTGAATTTTAGTACTGAACGGAAATTGGGTCGTGTTAATTTTCATTTTTTCTTAATTTTTGGGTCAAATTGCTTTCTGGGCTTGCTTGTTTCGCGAGGTTAATTGGAGATCCCATTCTGTTTCAATGTGTTCTTGGTGTAATGAGATGTCGATGCTTCGTGATTTGGATTTGTTGGTGTGCTGCAACTAAAAAAGTTTTTATTTCTGTGACTTGTGCTGAATCCAGCGGTGTGAGAAGTGGAATTAGAATATCTGTTAGTGTGATTGTTAGCATTTCATGACTGAGTTGAGATGCTTAAGAATGATTGCTGTAGATTGTGACGATGCATTGTGAGGAAAAGGGTGGTTTTATGTGCATTTTGACGATTACTACTTACGAGAGTTGGGATTTTGCAATTGACAAATAGTTGAAATCGTAGAACCTCAATTGATGAGGACAATGAGAAAGTTAAGCTGCAAAATGTATTGAGGCAGTGCATGCAAATTCTGTTCAGATTTCAAAATGTATATTTGTAACAAATTGGCCATTTTTATGCTGTTTCAGGCGGTAAATTTGTAGGTGAGGAAGATCAAGTTTTTATTGGTTCCAGAGGGCGGTCAAGTTTGATATAATGAAGTGATTTTCTTTTTGAACTTGAAGATCGGTAGGGACAGAATAGTAAAGAGATTACACTAGGCAGAGATGTTTTCATTGTTTTATGGATTCTGGAAATATATGTTCAGTAAGACGGAGTTTCATGTACTCATTCTTGGAATCGACAAGGCTGGGAAGACGGTAATACGCATTCCTGTAATCTTTTAGTTATTGTGCTTTTCGTTGCCATTTTGAGATGCTTTTATCTTTGGCCTCATTAGTGGATTTTATCCTTTTAGGTTTTTAATCTGGTATTACTTTGTAGACTTTACTCGAGAAGTTGAAGTCAATTTACTCAAACTTAGAAGGTCTCCCTCCTGATCGGATTGTTCCAACCGTGGGACTTAATATTGGTCGTATTGAAGCATCAAATACCAAACTTGTGTTCTGGGACCTAGGCGGTCAGGTATGTGGAATTCATCATTACTGTTCATCTTTCTTATTCTTTCTTTCAACATAGATTTTCTCTCCTTTATTCTAAACCATAAGCTGATAGCGTCAAAATTCAGATTTACTTTTCCTTAGAAGACAATACTAGTTTAGCAAGTAGTATTATTACTATCAGTAGTTTGTTATCACATACCAACATCGATGTAATGTCCATGTTGCGAATCAATCGCTTTCTCTAGCATCAATGTTCATTTTTGAGATGGCCAGTCACAAATATTGAAGCAAAGGGTTGTTTGTTTGTTGTCAGCCTGGTCTTCGCTCAATCTGGGAGAAATATTATGAAGAAGCACATGCTGTGGTCTATGTAATTGATGCCACTTGTCCATCACGTTTTGAAGATTCAAAATCTGCATTGGGTAGGTGGTGTTCAATTGCTGAATCTTGTGAACAAATTCTGCTGCAGTTGTAATTATCGAATCATATGATAGTATAGCTATTAAAGTTGAGGAATAACAAAATTACATGATGCACTACCCTGATTTTACTACTTTTGAAAACCAGAAAAAGTTCTTCGGCATGAGGATTTGCAAGGAGCTCCTCTATTGATTTTGGCCAACAAGCAGGTGAGAGGCTACATTGTTGATCGCACAAAATCACAAGCAACCTAGTGATAAATCTATCGGAAATTTTTGGCTTGCATGTCTCACTAAACCAGAAGTTTAACAAATTTTGACATTTTATTCAGAATGTACACACATAGAAATCTATGTGCATAAGTTCTTATTGGGTGACATCTCTATAGACGGGTTGTAATTTGTTGTGCATCCTCGTTTCTAACATATGGAACTATTTCCTTCTATGTGTTGATATAACAATGTGTTACTCCTCCGACATCTATCTTTTAATATCGTATCTGTTTTTTTATCTTAAATCTTGTAATGTGTAATTTAGTTATGGCATCCATTATGTTGATTTAAGCTGGTTTTAAATTGAAATGTCTTTGCAATTGCAGGATGTTGCTGATTCTGTATCAGCCGAGGAACTTGCTCGATATCTGGATCTTAAAAAGTTGGATGAAAGGGTTTATATGTTTGAAGCCGTTTCAGCATACGATGGGTAAGTGGATCTTTTCTAGACTCCATTGCTTCACGACATAGGCAGATAGTTAATTATTTATTTGCTCCAAATGTGGAAAAGGGAGCTTTTGAAAGGGTAATTTGGCACCCGATGAACCAGATTTCACATTGGAAAAATCTCAGCACTGAGATAATGAGATGCTGTAAAACTACAAAGCACAATAGCTAAGCGCTTCGACATTTGATTGCAGGATGGGGATTAAAGAAAGCGTGGAGTGGTTGGTGGCGGTAATGGAGAGAAGCAAGAGAACTGAAACGTTGAGAGCCCGTGCAGGCCCGGCATCTGCCTAGACCGGCATGTATCAACCGATATGCAGTTTTCTTGCCTTGCTCTGCTTCTGTAACAATTGTGTAAAGAAATCGGGCTTTTTGAATTCGATGTTGAATTATTGTTTCCTGCTCTATGTATCATAGATCGTATCAGGCTGTCACGAATCAAGTTGCAGAATATGAATTTTATGTGTCGATATGACCGTTACAACTTTCTTTCGAACTCAAATAAGAAACAGAACTAGTACACACAAAGCACGGCAAAATCTAGCGATGCATCATGAGAAAGCTTTTGTCTGCAATGAGTCATACATAAACACATTCGATTCTTCGAAATTCGACTACATTTGTTTCGATTCCTTTACTTTCTGTAAGAGTTGTAACTGCTTCAGTTTTCCAGGGCAGGTGCTGCAAAAGGAGCTTGCTCGCTTTTCTTCACTGCTGGTTGGGGTTCTTTGCAAAACAAAAGAAAAAAAAGGGGCCAATGTGAGAATTCCATTAAATTTAAGGAAAACTAATGAAAATGACTCGAAAACTTTGAGTTTTAACGATAAAGACAAAATAAAATGTAAAGTGAATAGAATAATTTTGTAAAAATGTAGTTTTTGGTTAAATTGCAGGATTTTTGTTAAAACTCCCTTAAATTTACCCCCCAAAGTCCAAAATTCCAAAAGTAAGAGGGTAGAAAAAATAAAAGAGCGTACTGGAAATGAGGGCCATAGGCCTGGCCTTGAACAGAATCCGGTGGCGGATGATTCCGATGACTTCCAATTCTACCCCCGCGGCACGAGCATCGTTATCAGAACCATCTTCGGAGTGCTTCGTTTTCTTCAAGACCAAGAGCGGCTTCTTTAAGGGCAGTTTCGTCCCCGTCAGTTCGTGATAGCCGATAGTAAACGTGTAGGTTTCCGGCGAGGAAGGGCGGCAGAGGAGACCAATGTGGAGGTTGTGGAGGCGGTCTTGAAATTGCGGCTGAACTTCCACCACCCCTTGCAATTCCACCACCGCCCATTCCCGGCAGTCCTCTCCGCAGCTGCACCTCACCCGGATCTGCATTCCTCTCTTCCCTTCAACTCTGCCCTCTCAGATTTCTTTAATACGACGGCCCTATTCAGTATTTGTTATTTGTTGATAAATAATGTGGAGATTTGGCGCCAACGGACTCCCGCCAAAAGATGATCAATGTGCAACAAATCTGTTTTGGGCCCGATTCTTAGAGCCCATTAAAACTCAACCGATCAAAGTTTCCAAACTTCTCACACTTTTTAGAGAGAGAGAGAGAGAGAGAGAGAGAGAGAGAGAGAGGTTTTTCTGTGTGATCGCCACACCACTCAGGTAGTAGCATGCATAGAGGTGTTAAACAGGTCGGTTGGCAGAGACACGGCCCGCTTAAATAAGGTAAGGCACGGCCGGGCCCAATTCATAAGAAATGGGCCGGGTGGGCCTAAAAGATAGGCCAGATGAGCGTAAAGGCTCACAACCTATTGTGCCGGTCATGGGCTGAGCATGACTTGCAGTCTTGGCCTATTATGAATAATCTCTTCTTTTTTTTCTTTCATTTTTTGTAATAAAAAAACTATCCCAAGTCAACAAGGCTATTCGCTTTGTGAGAGTCATGAGGAATGTCTATCGTACGCAGCTTCACCTTTGCTTTGTAAAAAGACTGTTTTCATGATTCGAACCACTTGTGACCATTCGGTCACAAATGAATAGCCTTTCTTGCGTCAAGGCTCCCCTCTCAAAGCATGAATTTAGTTTTAGAAGCTTAACCGTGTGAAGTGTGAACCTAGGAGCATCAAACACTTTTCAAGGTCTACAAGGGAAAAATAATAAAGCGTTTAATTTAAGCACAAGAAACGAAACAAAGAAAACAAATCCTAAATCTTGTAGAAGACCAGTTGGCAATTAGTTTCATAATTCATATAGAACACCTTTTTGTTTGTAATCCTTAAATCCTCGAAGTTATACTACTCCTTTAGTTTATGGATTACACGCAGCGATATATAAATAAGGACTATTTAGTCTATTAAAAAGGACTTTTAGTCTATTATTTTATATATTTTCAATTCATCTTCTGTGCAAGGAAAACTTGTTCACGGACAGTTTCGAAATCATGGCATCAGGTGTGTTTTTTCTTCGTATTTCCCTTTACTTTATACATTTATTTACGTTGTTATATATCATGATAACGAGCAGACTGGGATATCCCACTTAATGAAATATGGCTTTGTTGGGCTTTGTTGTTTGCTGTTGTTATATATTATATTATAATATCCTTCTATATATATATATATATTTTTTTTTTTTTTTTTTTGAAAAGGATAATATCCTTCTATATTTATGTCTGCAATTCTATGAGTTTAACATGTATAATTTTTCTTCCTGTCAGATTGGACAAATCTTCCTACGCATCTTTTGGGTTCAGTTTTAGAGAATTTAGTATCACGGTTAGAGTATATTTGGTTTAGTGTTGTTTGTATTTGTTAACTCTAAAAACTATCAAGTCTACGTGGAGTGCAGGCCGATTAATGAATAAGCTAACTACGTCATTCGGTTATGTGCGGGGCGTGTCAACTCGACGGCCGAGCTCGGCCAGGGAGTAAAATTTGTTGATGTTGCGTTGAGCGCGCTGCTGACTTCTTGATCTTACGACTGCGGGCGAGGAATGAACTCGCCTCGGCCTTCGGGTTCTAGAGCTTGAAGACAAGGCTGCTAGTCTGGTGAAGTTCACAGATCTTTAGCACCGGGTTCAGTCACGGTGATTATATTCGTAAGAGTATAAACACGCCGAATTGATTCCAAACTATACAGACACAAGTACTCAAAAGAGATATATGTCTTGATGGTGAATGTGGTTTGGCCGTCATAATGCCGAATTCTAAAACTTACTTGTGAATATCCAATCATAAAAACAACTCGGCGTTCAATGCGCCGAGCCCAGTAATCTGTAACACCTCACTTTGCCGAGAAGGCTAATAAGATGACCTCTACTAATAAGGATTCGAAAATTCTTCTCTACCAAGACTTGGATAGATAATCAGTCGGCATTGACGCAGTGCTGTTTATCCAAACTGAATGTTCTCTACTGTCGACTGATTTTATGGCAACGATGCTGTTTATCCAAACTGAAGATGTGTTGGCGAAAAAGAAAATAAAAATCTTAAGGTTGTTGAGAGGTTTCGCATAGAGCGAGAGTTTGCGCATGGTAGTTTGTGTGTTGAGTTGGAGGGGGTCCCAATGATATTCGTGGCTCTGTATTTATAGAAGCAAATGTTGTGTGGCGCGGCCAGATAATTTTGTAGAGTCTAATTGCAACTCTAATTTGCGGAACTGAACTTGATCCGCATCAGAAGCCAAGACATATCCTTCAAATTGATATGTGGGATTTGTTCATTGTCTTTTCAAACTCGATAGCTAGGAGAGATTTTTCAGTGTGACTGTCACACAGGATGGTATACCACGTGTCATTACATAAATAGTGGAATATGTGTGCTAAAAGGTTAATAACTTAAAAAATATAATTTTCCACTACTTACATAAAACACATGATGTACTATCTGTATTCTCGTCACAATTAAAAATTTCTTGTTAGGTAAATAAGCAACAGCCTATCTTTTAGATGTCATCATTACTCCTCATTTTATTCAAATAATTAGCATGCAACATCCCATCTGATGACCTCCATGATGCTGGAATCAAGGCATGCAAGTTTATACCCTAGCCATGTATTTCAACTGGACTCAGCAATAAAAGGGGCATTGCCTCAGTGCCTCTAGTAATTTAAATGCAAGATTAACTCTAGATCTTTCCACAAAATCTGTCCAGGTGCAATCATGCATTATCAAAAAATATCAACTTAATCCAATCTCCCAGCCCTCCACGTGTATGCATGTTGACTCACCAACTTAATATAATAAGAAAAATCATGCGCACCAACCTCATCCATGAATTCTAAGTTTGACTTGTACATCACACTTTTGGATCAGAAATAGGACACGTAAGAGATTACATGCATCTGGGGATTGATATGATGAGTCCATTCGGATCAACTTTTCCAAAACAACCATATGAATATATCAAATATTAGGTTTAAATATCCCAATTAATATTAAGATATAATATCATGATTAAAATCACAATATTATTTCTCAATAATAACTAAAATTCATTTCAACCATTTTATCATCCAACGGTCTAATATCTGCTTATTCAACGAGCTTGATTGCTTGAACCAATAGTGTAATTTTGGGTTCAAATTGTATGCCATGACATTGTGTAGCAAAAGATAATAAAAGAAAATTTGACGAGATGTCAAGTTGTCATAATCCTCCACTACTCTTGATCCAAACTCCTAAAAAACCCGAGTGGAATTTATACAACCCCATTGAAGACAAGGTCCTTGGTTTGCAACTGAAATTTCCGAACAAGCGACTGCGTGGTTCTTCAAAAGGATGGTTAATAGCTGTCAATCTGGATTTCGTAGTAACTCTTATAAATCCGTTTTTAAGGGTGAAGGGGAGACAAAAGAGAGCAGATTCCGTCATCGATCTTCCTCCTCTAGCTTGTCCAGATAATATGTCTTCCCGGAGAAAGACTACTTTTGTAAACAAGGCGACATTGTCAGCAGATCCAATCTTAGAGGCCGATAAATGTATTGTCATGGTCATACATGAACGTGAGCGAACTGGTAATAATCTGGCTTTCTTTAGACTCACCAAAGATACGTCGTGGACTTACGTTGTTGATGAAACACTTCGCTCTCTCCAAGATGTTCACGTCGGAAGCAAGTCTTATGTTGTCAAAGAAATGGGAACACTTTTTTCTTTTGATATTACTTCTGATCAATCCATCTCTGATAAACAATTGGTTGCTGCCGATACCTTGGAATGTTTCCAGAAGTACGTAAAGACATACATTGTGGTTTTAGATGATAATGAATTGTTGATGGTTCAAAGGGTTGTTGAATTTGATGATGGTGGTCGTTGGACAAAGGAAGTTAGGATATTTAAATTGAATTTTGATATGTACAAGTGGATTGAGACAGAAACCTTAGGTGATGTTGCTCTATTTTTGGGTGATAACTTTTCGACATCTGTCAAGGCTTCGAATTTCTCAGGATGTCTGCCAAATTGCATATACTTCAACTATGATTTTGATTGTGTGAACAGTTATCCAAAACACCGCTTAGATGATGATTATGGCGTGTAC